CAAGCTGCAGGCTAAACACGACTTACTGAAGCAGACTCTGGGAGAAGGTAAGTTCAACTGAGCCTAAACAAAAAGATTGCATTTTAAATCACAACAGGATTTAGAATTGAATCTTAGACTTCTTAAATCTCCCTTGCTATTGTTTTCTTTCTTATGTCAGTGTTTGTGATTAGTGATTCTGTCGTGCTTAATAGAAGAGGGGCAGAAAATCTTTGTTCCTTTCACTTTTAATTTTGGCTGAGAGTGGCGTTTGAATGCCCCATTGCGTTGATTTGGTTCCTCAGGGCGTAAGGCAGGCCTCTCAGCGTTAGGGATGAGCCCCATTATCCCTGCTTTGCCTGCTCTTTGTTTAGTAAAAAGAAAAATGAAAACACCAAGCCCCTTTGTAGCTGTGTTCTTGTTAACAATTATCCATTTCATTTGGCAAATAAATGATTTGGATAAAGGATTTTTGTGTTTGCAAATACTATCAAGGTGAATGGACTGGGATTCCCCCTACCCCTGCCTCAGAAACTTTGTAAGTTTTTGTTTTGAAACCCAAAATGCCCAAAGTAGTGAAATGATAGCATTGGTGCTTAGAGCCATAATCTGGAACAAAGTTTTCCAAAATATTCTCCAGCACCATAACAGAATGGCAATAAAAAATTCGATGGTCGTTTCAATATTTTGCATTCTCTATATGTGCAATGGACCGGGTGATTTGTGGCATTCTTCTTTCGATAGCTGTCATGTTGAACTGTGGGATTAAAATAAAAGGCATTGTGTTTTTCACAGCTGAGGATTTTATATCTAGGGGGAATTCTTGTAACTTAACTTGAGTCAAAATGTGCTGGGTCCTCTCTACCAGAATAGGTTTTTTTCTAGTAGTGATTTGAAGCATCTTGCCTCAAATCATTTGGCCTCAGTTGGCTTGTTGTGCGAAGGTCCCGCAGGCAAGGGAGGAACATAGGCTATCAGTACAGCTGTGCATGGTCTCATGTGTGAGAGGCATTCATCTTTTTACCTGACAGCAGAGTTTGGGAAATAATTGGCCTGTTTCAAGGCATGTGTAAGTAGGCCAGACTCTCCACATCTATCAACATAGTGGAGCTGATGGTTTGGGCCTGCCTGTGGATCACTTTGCTGCCCTTTCCTCTCTCCTCTGGTGATAATTATTGTCCTTGATGCCAAAAGGAATGCCTAATGAATGTTTTAATCAACTTTTAAAGGGATGCTGTAGGCTACAATTTATTCTCCTTCTGGTTTGCTATTGAAATTGTTCACTTGGGAATAGGTCTGCCATATTCTGGCCTGAGCATGTTGCTTTCAGCTCTTCGGGACTGAGCTTTTAAGTCAGGTTTGTCAACCTTTAAAGTCCTGTGGGCAGTCCCATTTGTAAACCAAAGAAACTGGCATGAGCGCCGCATGGTTTCAGAAGAATGCTGCTTTCAGACCTGCTAGGGAAGGTCTCTGTGGGACCACAGAAACAGCATTAGCAGCCCATGCTTTAACTCCTGTCCTCACCCATATGTTGATGAAGAGGACTCTTAGTAACCCACAAAAGCTTACCCCCTTATAAATTTGTAAGTTGCTGCATGACCCTTTGTTTTATTAATGGTTAGTACAAGAAAATACAGCTGTCATTTCCTACCACTGGAGAGGCTGATATTTTACCCCTTTTGTATGCTGCCCCCCCCAACAATGCCATCTCCTCAAAAAGTCTCTACTTTGCACAAGTGTGCCCTTAAAAATACTTCAAGAAGAGTGGTTGCCTTAACTCAAGTAGGTAGCTAAGGTTAAATGCATGATTTATGTCCTATCCTGAATATAAATTGGAACCTGAGCTGAACTGGAGCCCATGAGACTTTTTAAAAAGTTTTGCTTGGTGAACAAGGGACTATTTCTCATTTTAGAGATGCCCACTTTGCAGAAGCTTCTGATGATTTATTGCTATATTTTGCTGTCATACACTAGGAGTGAATGTACTTCTTAAAGTTTGGAATCAGTTGCCTCTGATCTGCTTTTAATACCGCAGCCCTTGTAACACAGATATAAACATATAAAAATGTAATTGGATTTTGCTGGCTTTAATCCCATAGATATTTGCCTCTCCCAAGTTAATATGATTTTAAGACCTGAGTCATCATAAGAGACAGCATTTGATACACAGTTCTTTAAACTGTTTTTAAAAATTGTGTCAATACTTTCTCTTCTGTCTTAGAAATTTCTCTCTACCGCAGAGCTGGTAAACCTACAAGCATATGCAGCCTTATTAGAACAATGGCTGTTTCTTTATACCCCCTTCTGTGGATTGGTCTGTGTTTCATATTAAAATTGGAGTAGGTCTCATTAGGCATAATCAATCACTGCACGCTGCCAGGCTTATCTGAGAGCAGCTGATTCCAAATCCAAGCTTTTTAACATATGAGACAGGGCGGAGCTAGCAGTTAGTTGAAGCCTGACCCATATGGACTCTCCTCTTAGTTCAGACAACAAGCCTCTAAGGTTTTGACAGTGCTAAGACAACACTATCAATCAACGCATTGGATGTGATTGGATGTTTTATTAGTCAGCTTTCTAGTTAGCAAAAATTCTTCAGCAGTTCTCAAGAGCAAGACAGGCCAGCTAAGGCTCCAGGCATTCTTATTTATTTACCAAGAGCTGCATCCTTAGTATGATGGTCAGCTGCCTCTGCTAACTAGGTTGCTGGACCAGTTTTTCATGACTCACACCTTTATGTATACACACACACACACACACACACTTACTTACGGGGCCAGCTTGTGGCTTTTCCAGGCCCCTCACTGTCCTGAGCCTATGCTGTCACCTCTAGTTTTAACCTTAGATCCTCTTTTCTCTTTTATGAAGATCCTTCATCTGACTTTGATTTGGCCCAGCACCTTTAACTCTCATGCCGTTACTCTCTTGACCAGTTTCCCAACACAATCTTGGATATTCCATTTGGGCCAGATAACAAATGATACCTTCTTTCCAGGTGAAGCTGTAGCTAGGCTTTAGGACTGCACTTTTGTGCACTTTAGCTTATTTGTTAATCAGTTCATCAGAAATTGCAGTATTCTTACATGGTTTCATCCAGCAATTGCGTCATGTGTTTCTGAATTCCCTTTATCTGCTTTCACTTACTATCTGACCTGGAAGTTCAAATTCAAAAACCATGAGTCATATAAGGATAAAAGGCAGAGTAGTTGATTATTTTTGGCACTGTCACCACAAGCATACCCTTTCAGGTGCCTCACAAAAGATCTTTCAACAATCTTGAAGTCTGTCTGCAACTTCACATGGAAAAATGTTTCATTGCCTGATTATCCTTTATTCTGAAAATTCTTTCCACTGTTTTATAGATTTCTTTGCTCCTACAATTTAAACATAAAAACATATTTATTGCATTTATTTTCTTCCAATGAGCTCAAGTTGGCATACATGATTTCCCCCCTCCTAATATAATTCTCACATCAACTCTATGAGATAGGCTAGGTGAGGGGCAGTGACTGGTCCAAGGTCACATTCAAGTGAGCTTCACGGCCAAGTAGGGATTTGAACCCTGGTCTCCCAGGTCCTAGTCCAACATTTTACATGCTAAAAAAGATGTTTTAAAAAGTAGAGGCAGCTTCTGAAAATAATAAATACAACAGGAGAGCCAATCTGAAGTGACACTGGAGGTTTATTATTTATTTTTAAGAGGAATAAATAGTCCATCACATTTTGAACAACATGTTCCTCATGAGCAATGGAGTCAAGTATTACCTTGTGCTTAGGATGCCAGGTTAGCTAGGGCATTTAGAGGAGGAACATCAGGCTGGGTGAGCCAGTGGTCCACAGGCAACTTCATCTGTTCTTTCATGGGGATCTCGTTTCTTATTTTCACTGTTATCTACAATCATCTCTTGATAATTCATGTTGCCAGTGGCAGTGTACACAGAGAACTTGCAAGTCTTTTAAGGTTGACCCTTTGGGCACATGATTTCAAAATCAGAAATGAGCTGCATCCAAAAATGTTTCTTTCGTATGCAGTAGTACCTCGGGTTAATTCGTTCTGAACTTAATTCGTTCTGGAGGTCCGTTCTTAACCTGAAACTGTTCTTAACCTGAAGCACCACTTTAGCTAATGGGGCCTCCTGTTGCTGCCCCGCCACCGGAGCACAATTTCTATTCTCATCCTGAAGCAAAGTTCTTAACCCCTAGCTACTATTTCTGGGTTAGCGGAGTCTGTAACTTGAAGCATATGTAACCTGAAGTGTATGTAACCTGAGGTACCACTGTATTGATTAAGAGAGAGAGGGAGAATACAACTTTCTTTTTTCTTTTTAAAAAAGGCAGTTTTGGTCCTGAAACAAAAACAAATGAAATTCCACAAAGAAAATGAGGGATCTGTTTACAGAGTTATAAATGGAATGGCATATACTTTAACAATATGTGGTGGCATGCCACCTTCTGTCAAACCCAAATGTTGTAAATACTTTGAAGGGGCAAAGACAGCAAACATGGGAGTCTGTCTGGTTAAAGTCAAACGGGCAGTTATCTTGTAGGAAAAAGCTGGTCCGCTAAATACTGCCCTGAATTCTCATGCTGTTAGCATATCCTCAGTGAGGTGATGGGATAATCTTCTGCATGATTCCCAAGGATAGTGGTCCCTATCAGTACTCGTCCCTATCTCCCTCCCCCCACCCCTTATCCCCCGCTCTTTTAACTGCTAAAAATAAGAGCTATTGAGGCACAGATCTTTTATCTGGTGCAGATTGACTAAACTTCATTGACAGTAGAGCTGTTCGATTTATGCTAGCTGCCTGGATCTTTTAATAATTTATTTAAGCTCTTAACAAACATCATCCCTGAAGGCTCAAGGCAGAAAATGCCTCTATAAGAGAGCTGAAGATAATACTAATCAAAATGCTAAAGCCAGAGATGCAGCTAAAAGATTTGCTCTCCTCACCAGCTGTATCCCCAGCTGGCCCCTTAACTCCAGCTAGGTAGAGTTATTGTATGGCTTTAGAAGACAGTAGGTCTTCAGCAGTTGGGTAGCACAGTTGGTAGAGCATGAGACTCTTAACCTCAGGGACGTGGGTTCGAGCCCCACATTGGGCAAAATATTTGTGCATTGCAGGGGGTTGGACTAGATGACCCTTGTGGCCCATTCAAACTCGACAATTCTATGATTCTATGCAGCCACAAAGATGATCCTCCCTGCGTCTGAATCTTGCTATTGGAAAGATGCAAGGAGCAATGCTGACGTCTGGGATTATGATTCAAGAAAGAAACAAGCTCCGAATGCCTCTGAGCATCATCCTGAGATAATTGATTGGAGTAGGGAAGGGTAGAGATGCTCTCAAGTCAAACATGGTTCTTGACTTGTGAGATGGCTTTCGGCAGTCAAGGGATTGTATTGAACACTATTCCCTGCTCAGAGTAGAAACGGAATTAATGGAGAAGACCAAATTAAGTTTATTAATTTCTGTAGGTCAACTCTGAGTAGAACTTAGTTGGATACACTCCCTAATATGTAAATTAATAGTAAACTGAGGCTTTATGAGTAAAATGTAATGTCTTCAGACCCTTGCAATTTCTCACTTGCCATATACGAGCAGTTAACTTGTAGATTAATGTTAAAACAGTTCCCCCTGCCCCTGATTTTTTTAAAAAATACCAAATAGCTGTGACCTTTTATATTATGTAAACAAGGGTGGAATTAATGTGTGATTTCTTCCCCACCCCAGGTGAAAGAGCTGAATGCGGTACAACCAGGTAAGTGGAAACTGTGTATATATATACTAGTTGGTATTGCTACTGCAAGATGAATTTGCTTGGGTTTAAAATGCATCTGCAATAAACCGATTTTTGTGTGGTAGGGTGGAATCCTTTAGCCACTGTGCTGTGGAGGGGCAACACCCTGCTCCAGGGGCCTCCTCTTATCTACATTCTCTAAATGGATTAATTAGAAATATGACAAACAGGCCCTTGTTTTTCCTGCAGTGTAATTTTTAGCTGACTGGCTCTGAAATCATGAGGAATGCTGTGTCAGCTCGGTGCATTGCAGTGTCTCCATGGATATATTGGAGCTTATTTCTAGTCTGTTTATGACACTGACCAGCCATCTTGGCCTAACTGCCAGGACCTCCCTTGCTTGCCCATATTCATTCAGGGGCAGAATATCCATCAATCCATCCAGCTCTAGGATTGATCTCCTCTTACCTTTTGGCATGGAATGTCTCCCAAATGATCCCTTCTCTGTAACAAAAAAATAGGGAAGGATAGGCATTGAGAATAAAAGTAAATATTGGATAATTGTGGTAAGGGAGAGTGAGGAAAAATCTAAGGGCGTTTGAAGGGAAAGAAGTCACTTCAGAAGGATAAGCAGTGTCTAGGAAACCGAGAAAAAGAGAGTTGCTGACAGAAATTGGCAAGAGAGCATAACCTGATTCAGTTAAGCAATGAAAAGATCATTCAGCAGCAGCAGGCAGTGGCGATGAAAAGCCACTTGGGGAAGGATTGAATGGGAGAGATGAAGGGAGGAACCCATATTGTGTAACAAGGTGAAATACATATATTTAGAAGTGTGCGTGTTTTGTATGACAAGGTTGGCCAAAGTTATTTAATGTAAGGAGCATTTACAAAAAAAACATTGGGAGGTTTGAAATGCACTGTCCCTGTGTGCTGCCCTGTCTTTCACCCCCTCCCCTCACCATCCTATAATCTCAATTCACTCACTCCTCTCTCTGTCTCTTCCCCTGCCACACTCTCCCCTGTGACTGCAATAATCCTTTCCCACTCCAAGAATTTTTACATTACAAACTTCCCTCAGTTTTAAACTGACTTAATTGTTGTTACCTGGGCATCTGGGGGTTGCGGTGGTGTTTTTAACTGAGCTGGTACTGGTTTGTCAAGAGATCCCTAGTGCCCCCACCCACACACCAGGGCTCTAGTTTTCAAGGATCCTTGAGAGAAGCTGTAGCTGTTAAATCTGTAGAAGCTGGTAGCGCTGACGGTCCCACACAGGCACTGTTTTGCTCTTGTTTCTTCCTGGCCAGATTAGTGGTACCTGCATTGGAACAGGCAGGTAGTGCTGCTCCAGTTCTTGTTTCCTGCCAGGCTCCATTGCTACCAGTGTGGTTCCAAAAGAAAGAGGACTGAGTAATTGCTGCAATTGTTACAAGCTATTGTCAGGTCTGTTGGGAGCCATGACATCTGTGTCCCCTAAAGGTTTTTCCCCCTGATTTAAAAGCTTCAGTGGAGGAAAGGAAGTTTTGCCCCAAATATTTACATGCTAGGTTCAATGGTTAGCTTTTCAGATGCCTGCTTCATAAAAGAATGTGTCACTCTGTGACCTGAGTGATGATGGCTCTGTACAGATGACTTCTTCTTTTTTTGTTTCTGTAGAAGAACAAGCTCTGAACATATGAAATTCCCTTTGCTCAAGGGGCTGCGCAGAGCACAGATTTTTATCCTTGCGCCAAAAGGCAGCTTCTGCTCACCCTTCAGCTTTCTTAAGTGTGCACAGCATAACACCCTGCAGGACTGAAGCCAGTCATTTTGGCGCAGTCTTGAAGAATCATTAAAATGGTTGCATGCTTTCAGCTGAGGAGGAAGAAGGTAGAGGTCAGAGAGGGAGGTTTTCTCCATTGCTTGAAGAACTCTCAAAGAAATGCAGCAATTGCTTTTCAGCTCAGCTGCAAGAATTTTGTCATAATGTATAACAGTAGGATATAGGACTCTGATATACAGGACAGCTGGGCTGTCAAACTCATTTTTTTAAATATAGCACTGCCTCAGTGTTTAATAAACTGCAGTACTAGTGAAGAAATTGAGAAAACAATTTTGCAAATGCTAGCATAGATGGCTGTTAGAGTGTAGCCCCCTTTGCATGAGAAGCTCCTTTTCCAGCCAAGCATGTGAAATACTGGGTTGCATATCATGCTGGTCAGTGCAGACTGTGAGAAAAACAGCCTTTCTAATCGGCTGCAAATGAATTTTAATTTCCAAGCTACTGTAAAGAGGTATAACGCTTTATATTCTCTTGGTGAGACTGTCCTTTTATAGCCAGGGATAACAATGGCACGTATGGGACAGAATTTGTACAATACCTTAAAATGCCAGAACTGTAGTATGCTGTGGGACTGAATCCAAATTCAGAATTTACCCCTAAAAAGAACAGATCTATTTCTGCACTGCAGCATTCCTGGCAATCGTAACTGTATACTCTGTCTCATAGTGTTTTTATCCTGCTTAGAGTTGGTTATGTTTTAAAAATACATGATAAAATATCCAAACTATTTGAACTTCAGGGGCACTAAGGGCACAATGAAACACCTGAACATGCACAGCTTCCCCATCTTTCTCCAAGGGGTATTCCTTCCACACATATAGAGGCAGCATCCAGTGCAGACCCTTGCACCATCTTCTTCAGCTGTCAAAAGCGGTTCTTTTCCACCTTGTTTGTGGCCTCTATCTCCAAAGAGGCCTGTCCATTGCTATTATTGTTCCAGTGCCTTCCAACAAGTTTATATAGTTAGAGTTTCTGTAAAGTCTTTCAATCAGAGTATTAGGGCCTGCGGCTGCCACCTCCTCCCGCTCTTAGGCAAAGCTTACTGAATGCTTCCAAAGTTACACTGGGAGTAAGGAATGTGTCCCTGCCAGGTCAGCAGTTTGTTTTATGCAATGGATTGCTAGGCCATGCCAGTGGTTTCCCCCCAGGGAAGTGTTGAAAAGGAAAAGCCACCCATACTGTGTTCAGAAGGGAGATGTCTGTGGCCCTCCCTCCAGATACTGTTGGACTACACCTATCATCATATTTACCCATTGGCCATGCTGTCTGGGACTGCTGAACATCTGAAGGGCCACATGTTGTTGGACTCCCAGCAGTCCCAGCCAGCATGGGTAAGTATGATAATAACTAAATTCTGTGTGCAAAATTGATGATGATCCTTTGGAAATGAAAGATGCTACATTAAAAGACAAGTTTACAAAGGCTTGGGTCTCTAGAAACTGGGGCACACATAGAATAATAGAATTGTAGAGTTGGAAGGGAGGGGTCATCTAGTACAACCTCTTTCAATGCAGAAAACACTTGCCTATTGCTGACCTCAACCCACAATCCCAAGTGAGTTTTACTATAAGTTATCCATAAAAGTATGGACAAGCTCCTGTGTCTCTACTTCCCCCCACGTCCTTGTCCTGTCTGTCTTCATACCCATTGTTGCTTCTTGGCTCTCTCTTGCCCTGTATCCTCCTCTCTTCTTTCGGAGTGGAGAGTTGGCATTGTACCCATGAGATACAGGTGAGTCCATGTCCTAGGTTCCCCACGTTGATATTTAAAATGACAGATATATGAGGAATATATCAAGGTGGTAATGGTCACCTAATATGGTTGGAGCCAATGCACTCGTCCTCACAGTGACCTTTCCCCTTCTAGGTCTTTTTTATTTGCAGTCTTTGAAATCTTTCCCTGCCATTGTATTCAAGTTGATGTTTTGTTGATCTCTTTTGTTCCATTTTTCTCAGGCCCCCATGTCTTCCCCCTAAGCCACAGAAAATGAGGAGACCTAGGCCTCTCTCAGTCTATAATCATAAACTCTTTAACGGCAATATGGAAACATTCATTAAGGTACTTGCTGTCTAACAGTGAGAATCTGTGGACACTGTGGATGTAATGGTAGCATTTTTTTCTCTTCTAACTGCTGACCTGTTTCCTTCTCTCGGACCTGGCCTTTCCCATGCACTGCACATCACACCATTAAAGTGGTTAGTATGCCTCTGCCTCAGTGACAATTTCTATTGGTGGCTGTTGCTCCTCCTTACTGCAATAGTGAGGCACATCACTCCTGTTTGTGCCAACTGGGAGGGATGAGATAAGTGTAATGACCCTTGTGGAACAGTATGGAAGCGCAACACTCTTTGTGCCTGTCAGCATGCTAATTGCAATCTGCCATATCTTATCACTGCAGGCAGAACTACCGAGGTTTTATAAGCTGCTGTTTATATGAACATCCTGGAATTTAAATGCAGCATGCCTGCCTTCCGTTAAAAGAGATTTGCAGTGGATCAGAGTTAAACAAAAATCCTTAAAAGATTAGGGTGCTCAGACTGATATG